TTGAATAATACCGTTTAATACCGCTTGTTGTTCAAGAAAAAAAAAATGAGACATTATTGTCAAAAAAATGTTCATAGAATGTCATAGAAGGGCTATAATTCAAGCAACATAGCCATGGTAACTAAGAACATATAATTTTATATGCAAATTATCCACAATGCATGATCATATTCCTGCAATGATAGTACTTTTCATAAGCACAACAAATCAAAATTAAAACATAATAGTTATTCATAAATTATTCAGGCTTTGATGTTTATCATTCATGTTAAAAGTCATTGCTACCCCAGCTTCCTCCAGTTGTTTCGTAACAGAAAATAGGGTAAAGTTGAGAAACAGATGAGTTAGATGGGGTAGCAATGACAGTCCATTTACACCTTTGCCACACGTTTCTTTAGGTTGACCATGATGGACTTTAAAGTGATTTGCATACAGTCCATGGAATGCTTTCAGAAATGTGAAAATTACCTATAAAAAAACAAACGTTCTCACAAATGTTATAGTACTAAAGTTGGTGTGTTGACGTGTCCCTCCCCCCAAAAAAAGCAGTTCATTTGCATAAAATTGTAAACAAATTATTGCAACCAGTGTGCCACATTAAAACCAATAACGACAATATGATCACTTCCCGCTACTCGACCACTTAATTAGAATATTGTTTTATGTTCACAATTTTAGTCGGCGACACAGATGGCGTCATCCTGGGCAAAAGATATTTCAATGTCATGCCACGTCATGGTAAACTTGTGAAAATATCTGAAATTATATCAGTCCTTAATCTGAAGGTAAGCGAGCATTTATTGCAGTGTTTCTATTTTCACAAACCGACACCACGTTTACTTTATTAGGAGGTGTTCTCTGATAGAAACTGTGCATAAACCAAAAATTGTATTTGCTACTAATAGGGCAAATACAGTAATGTTCACAAAGTCTACCAAGATCTATGAAAAACCTAATTCTAAATAATAATAGACTGTAAAATATGCCCTAGCCTAAGGAGCCTTTCATAAATACTCTACTTAGTATGCTAAAATTTAGGAGAGAAATTTGTTACGAACACATGCATGAAATACTACCTCTTGTACAAATATCATATACCGGTAAGACATGAATTGCTTTCAAAACTGTTTGTCTATGGTCTTCAACTGACTTAGCATTCATGTCTAATCAAGCAAACTTCAACTTAGTATACATTCATTTGAAACTTGACATCATTCTACGAGAGAAACAATTAATATCTCACCAAATCTGATTTCTCATTCAAACAGAGCACTTTTTACAAATCAATGAAGCAGTGTTTGCGAGAAGAAAGAATAGAAACCGGGCGGACAAAGGTACAAACGGGAACAACATCTGACACTCGACAACTTATTAGAGTACACTGATGTGAGATTTTGAGATGCCGACACCAGGAATGCCCAAAATGTATGGTTTACATATAAAAATCAAACAATGCAGTTTTTAAATTTATTTTAATTTGTATATTATTTCAATTGTCAGTTTAACACCAAAATTCACAATTTAGAAGCCAAAGCTTTTTCACATAGTATTTTATAATAATTCACACTTTGTATATATATTTAATTTTGTTGTAAATTTGGTTCACAGTAACTTTTTAAAAACAAATTATTTCAAAGTGCAATAGCTTATACAGTTTTATGTTAAAAAAAAAAGTTTACCCATTTTATTTTTTGAACAATACTTGATATATACTTTCATTTTTTTACAAAAAAAAAAGAATATAGTTGAAATCACAATTTATTTGTACATTTTTCAAAGCTTCTTTCATCTTGGATGAAAGAAAAACTGTATTATAAAATTCTGAAAGTTTTGATTTTACTAGACATTATGAATGAATCAATCTCTACTTATTCACCTTTTTATTGCAAGATATATTCCCGCCAAATTCTGATGCAAAATTTTCTGTGATTTCAACATTAATTTTGAACCAGACAGATGTAATTTGATCTTGCAAATCTTAATCGAGAATTTTTAAAATTTGTGAATAACATTTCTGGTGACAATCAGCATATTGAGAGAAAAGATACAAATGGACTGGACAAAAAAAAGTTTAATTATTAATGTAATTTAAAACCTGCACTATATTAATTGCTGTTTGTCATACTTTCCTCCAATTATTACACTGCAGGACACTAGGAGCATTTCGTCATAATCGGCTCGCCATGCACCTAAAGGAGAGTCACAGTTTTGCAGCTGCAACAGACTGGAACAGAGTCTATACATTTACTTGTTTTAATCCTTTTAAAATTTTATCACTAATGCCTATTTAAATTTTGTCACCTTCATAGAAAATAAATTCAGGTAAAGTATTTGATATTTTGACCAAAATATTCAAAACATTTTGCTCAAAACCTGTAACTAAGGTCAAATTCTGTCAATTTGGCCCAAAATTACTATTGAAATTAGAGACAATTATAGAAAATTGGGAAAAATTTCACATATTGTGGCCGGAAACAATGGCGAACAATGTCTTCCAGAACTATGTTCCAATATATTTTCTTTATAATCGCTACAAAACAACTTTTGAGGTACATGCATATATTTTGCTATCCAGAAAATCATATTGTACAGATAATCACTTATGTTACATCTATGCAATTATTTATATAGAATTAAATTATCTTTTTTATTATTCCGAGATAAAAAAAATTGTATTGTTGTTTCCTGATAGATTGATTGAAGAGTGTTTGTGTTTTAGTATGATTGGTGTCAATTTTAATGCGTGCAATACTGTAAAATACTTTATTTTCGCTTGGAATAAATTTTTGCTGTGTTTTTGCTAAAGGAATGATTCATTAAAAATAAATTCCAACAAATATACCTTTTTTCCTATATTTTACATCTAGCTTGTCAAAATTCAGTGAAAATAAATTCCATACAAAACATCCAAAAAGTTTTTTAGAGAAAATTTATTCCAGCTAAAATAAAGTATTTATACAGTAGTACAGATATATATTCACGAAAACAATTATGATTGGAGTGTGGAATGCAAGTATCTAATTAACATATTAATCAAAACAAATTGTGCAAAATGTGGATTGAATGTATGTGAATCAAATGAAAGTAAAAATTAAATGAAAATTCAACAATCTCAAATAAAAACAAAAGATTTATACCACTTACCTGTGAGGACACACTACAATGAATCACCATGGTAAAGTAAAAGTACAATATAAAATGTTAAAGTGAGAGGGTTGTCACCTGCGCACACATGGAAATTGAGTCCCAAGCGACGATAACAACATACGCTAAAGGCTCACAATGACACGCTATGGCCATATGACACATGGGCAGGTGACGACTTCCCCGCTTTAAAATAAACAAGGACATGATACCTGAAACGGCCTTCACCTTAAAATTGCTTGCGAATTATGTCACGATTAGCGACTGCCACAAAGATTAGAGACAAATACAATATGCACTGATTAATGGTTCAACTTTTTATTTCTTGAAATAAAATACTATTTACAGGAACCATCACCGTACCGTTCACCATTGCTATGTCCATATAAACGATCAACTTAGTAACACGTAGTGAATGAGCGGGGTCTATGACATCATACTACTTATCTACTTCTTCTTCAAATGTAATGCTTTCATGGTCAAAAGAAAATAGGTCGTCCTCGTACAATTCTTCGGGGAGATCCTCTTCCCGGTCAGGTACGTACGTTGGGAATGGTGGGTGTTTCACACGATTAATTCTTGCATCTTTGACGACCACAAATGATGTATGGAACCCTGGGACAGTACCGCTGACGTAGATTATGTTATATCGTGTGTTCACCCTCACAACCTATGAACAGAATTGAATGTGTAGAGTCTTACAGCTTCATACAGGATCTTATCAAATACCATTAGAGTATGTATATTCTTTGCGATTTAGTGAATGGTTTTTTATAGTTTTTTTCTTTTCAAAATGACAAGATGAAGTTGACATAACAAAAGCACACAGTTAAGTTTATCCAGTCATTTTTGAACAGCAAACTCATGCAACCCTCATTCAACTCAATAATGTGATATTCAGATGGTGTAACAATTAACATCGTGAATATTAGATTCTTTGGGTATTTTGTATAGTATCATTTGGATATAAAGCACATCAGTAATTGTCGTCTTTACCTGTAGATTCACTTCTGTCCTCAGTTGGTTACCCATCTGTCCCGCCATTTTCTTTCCAAGCCTCACCCTCCCTGGTTTCTGGAAATAAGAGATTGACCATTTAAAATTCAGGGTGCAAATTATTCTAGTTTTAAGTTGTATTTTAATGTATACGGTTTTTTTGTTTTTTGGTAATTTTCACTGCAGTTTTTTTTTTTTTTTTTTCTCAAATTAAACCATCAATGCCTCAGAAATTCATTCCTGCTTTTCCTGACATTCTACGAGAGTGGCTCATCAGCAACTACCGATACTAAGAAAATTGTTGGCAGGCATGTTCCAGGAAATGATTTTTCCCGCCATTAATCAGTGACACGTTATCATTAGCACTATAAGCAACATGGACATAATTCTTTCAATTATTATACCGTCCATTCTGCTGTATTTCATTGCAGTCAAGGCCATTTGCATACAATGAATGAATGAATTCTTAAACTTGTAACTAGACATTTAAAACCATAGTGCACACAGGTCAGATCACCCAAAGTTCAAAGGCCACCATATTCTGACAATACCTTGGACACAGTATCGATACTGGAGTCATAATTTTATAAATAAACCTGTGTGATACATGAAAATTGAACTTGGCTTGAACTTAAGATTTTACACAGATGGATAAACAGTAATGCTATAGTTCAGATTAAAACCCTCTGAGAAAATGAAATCGGAACTTCTACAACAACATGAACAAAATTTTTGTCAACGCTATATCTTCCCTTCCATTTTGTTATAAGCAAGGCAATTATCACATACATTTTGTTAATATAACAATAATACCTACCCCACCTCCCCCAGTAGCACCCATCTTTCGATGCGTCTTAGTAGCACCATGAGAAGCTGGTTGACCTTTCATTCCCCAGCGTTTCATTACACCCTGAAAACCATGACCAATTCTGTAGTGAAATATAAATGAATTATACATTTTTTATTTTATTTTATAGCTCAAGTGCTGCAAAGAAAGGGCATTGCTAGGTAGACCAAACAAATTCCAATAGAAGAAGAAGTTCAGTTGTCCTACCTACAGATACTCGTTATGACAAAGAAACGAGTGAACTGTACACTAAGAACCGCATACAGGACAGACAGACAGGTTTACGTCCCCCTGGCCTCCAACCAGACACTATTTTTCCAACTAGGAATGACACATACCTTGCAAGTGAGCAAAATGTACTCTAATTTTCAATCCTGAGTGGGCAACTGACTGGTTATTTAAGTCCAAGGAAAAAAACTGGGATGACTGAACTAGTTTTGAAATTAACAGTTGTATGTAATGTGACCAATTTTCAATTCAAAATGGCCACCAGAGTTTGGCTATATCACTAAAATCACCAAGTCTTTGTTGGAAACATGTTTGAGTAACCCCCTATTTATAAGCTCTTTGCTTCACTTAGTAAAATTTCAAGAAATTGATGTTGCAGAGCTTTTCAATATCCTGCATCAAAAATAAAAATTTTCTGGTCATTTTGTTTCAAAATTTTTTAATTATTTATTTTTTTGCTAAATATTATATAAATGCAAGTTTAATTATTGACAGTATACTATACTGTCCACGGTTTAATCCTTTTGTCAACATTCACGGAATGCAGTAGTGAAATAAGTGAAAAATAATTCATCCTGAACTTTTTAGTGGTACACACACAGACCATAAAAATAACATTTTTTGTTAGACCTTTGACTCCAATGTACTTACGATCGTGCTGTGACGTCAACATACATGCCTGGTCTGAAATGAGCAGCATATAAAGGTGTGCCTGCCAAGGTAAATGCAATAAAATAATATTGGTTTAGAGTCTGGAAATATATGCACCTTATTATACATCTGTCACCGTATCATCATAAGTGATACCGTGCCGTAATTTTGCAATATTGCAGAGTATCTGCATCCTACAATAATAGAAAATGTAAATTTCCAAATATAGAGCGATATTTTCAAGATCGTGGGCATTTTTGAAAATGAATTTCATAACAAAAAATTCAAATAATTTTCAACACTTATTCTGGGCAGTCCCGGTTGTATGGCGAAAGTTGGATAATAAATAGCTCATTACAAACATACTGCACATGAAGTCAAACAGTACACGGTCACATCAACCTCTGCTATGCATATCAACAGCGATACTCCCACAGTATCCTTGGGGGCAGAGCTACGTCACAAGACGTTCCACGTTGCTAAGACGCGCACCACTGTACATGCATTTCTATGGGCTTTGTGCGCGCTGCTGTGGAACGCCGGTCGAGCCGGTGAAAACTCGAGAAAACAACACAACTCAACTTTAAAGTGATCCTGAACAACCAAATTTATATATGTTATACACGCAGGACTAATCTTGTTGCACTGTTCAGGGGAGTCTCAACAACCATCCCTTTGGTCTTTGTTTTCACCGAGATGGTTGCCAAGCGGTTAAAATGCCCGGATGTCCGCCCAGATGATGTGATCATACCTGGTTGTAATTTTGCATCGTCAGTTATTCGGAACCGAAGTAGTTTTTGTTTAACTGGAACACACGCTTT